AAGATATTTCAAATCTACTATTCATTACTAAGTAGACTTGAATTTTGATTATATATCATACACATGATCCTTATCTTTAAAATAAATTTGTATATTACATTCAATGACCAAAGTAAAGAGATACAAAACATTAATGCCCATGACTTACTGTAAGCTTATATTATGTGAAGTGAACATTTGTTGGTAGACCTTCATTGAAAGCCTTGAAAATCAGGATCAAATTAGCGACTTCCCACTTTTTTTCGCGAAATTCATAACGTAATGATGAAAAAGTTGTTCAATTGCCCGAACGCTAATATGAATTTTGAACGTATATGATTGTCACTCATCTTCTTAGGATTTGGCTCATGCTGTATTAGTTCTGCTTTCTTCAATGTAGACTGTTTGCTTTGGATCACTTACTTCAGTTTCTGATCGAATAAATATTAGCCACACTGAACATATCTTACAACACCAGCTAGCTTTTGCCTTAAGAACATGAATGTAGAAAGGACCTTTATTTACGGCTTCAGTCGTGAAGGGTCGATAAGATAAAGTTCATTCCGCAATCATAGAAAAAAAAAGTCACGAAAATTACAAGGAGTGTCCAAATGCTGTATTACCAGTTAGTTAGGAAGCACGTTTAAATAAATGATGTGACTGTATTTTGGTATAAAGCTTGTAAAGTGATCTAAATAAACAAATAACTCAAAAAGTATATACATAGTGTTATTTTTTATCGATAATAATTCTTTGCGGTCACAGAACAGGGTTAGCCATCTGATATTTCACCACTCAATGAAGTATACCGTTCTACTTACAACAATAAAGTCTCTTGCTTATCGGTGTATTACCACTAGAATTCCACTAACTGTTGTTGTATGAAATCCGCTCAGTCATACACCAACTAGGAAACATTTATAGGAGTATTTATGGTTCAATGTGTAACCAAAACATAAACTGATATTCAATTAAACAAAAATAATCTATAGAAAGAACTATTCTATTTAAAATATAATGCAATTTTTTTTAAACCAGCCATGAAAAATAACAATGAACTGAAATTACAATAATTGGTATAGTAAAATCTACAGATTTCTCTGAAATCAATTTTAATGAAACCATCAAATTTCAAATCAACATTGATCAAGATTTTTCCTAGGAAAACTTGAAAGTATGCTCCTGTTTTGTTCAGTAATTGTAGTTCTGACGTTTAGACGAGTCAACAATGACCAAAATTTCAGAAATGCTGAGTTGAATTTAGTTATTCGTTAAGTTATTATCTGTCTTAATTTGTTAAACTGTAGTATGCTCTTCAAAGATATCAACATGATATAGTTGGTTCAACTTTTGAGGTCTTCAAGAGACAGTAAAAGCTTTCTTGTTGAAGAACGCCAACTCTTCTCGTCTATAGTGCTGATGATATGTAGCACTATCAGATATTCCGTTTGAAACGGGAGAAATCACGTTACAGTCTCAAACTGGATACGATGGTGATAATTTAATTATTTTCTTGGAAAGTTCAGGTTCATTCTTTCAGAGGTATATTCTCGCCAACTTTATCCGTCCACCAGTTAGCTGTAACTTACCTGATCACAGTAGTTCTCACAAATTAGAATCCAATTGAAAACCCACACGGAAATGTGCTTATTAGTTCAAATTATATCTTATTGATAGGGTGATAGAATATCTAAAGTAAACGTTCATGTATGAATCTGATAATAGTTTCACTAAGGAAATACTAGCTATCCTTTAAGAATAGAATAATGTAGCTTGAGAACTACAACAAAGTCAGGGTTACAAGTAATCTTTATTAATACATTCATATATAAACATAAATTTAAAAAAGAAACTGTCTCTTTACAGTTTGATATTCTTGAGGAGTATGCAACCATAGTGTGACAGGGTTAAACCCAAATAAATGAGTCATAATTCACTGCTTTCTGGTATATTCAGTTGGACGCATTATAACAAAAGGTTAGTCAATCCGAAAGTAAGAGGTTCTATAATGTTATTTCATACTTGTTCATATCCGACAAAATGTGGGAAAACATATATGTTGTAAGCAATGATGTATAGTGGCTAGCAGTGGAATCCAAGACGCGCGTTTCGTCCTATTTGTGACTCGTCAGCTGGATGTACCTGCATCTCAGAGTTGATGTTCACTCTGGGACTCAAACCCAGTACCATTCGCTTCAAACGCCATCGCGTTATCCACTTAGCTACTGAGTCCTGATAGCCACTTGCTTGTGCAATAGGACGGATTTAAATTCACTTGGTATTGTTTGGCTTATATCTTCCTATTGAGGTCTAAGACTGCAATTGCCTTAATCCATCATTGCTTACAAAAAGCTTGTGATTTAAGGCAATATCGAGGCATATGCCAATAACAGACTGATCAATTGCAGTCTTAAACCTCAATAGGAAGATACAAGCCAAACAATACCAAGTGAAGCATATATGTTATTTGGAAATGTATATATTTATTGAAAATTGTAATTTACATAGGGGCAGAAATTTTAATATAAAACCAATCTATGCTTTCTCAATCCTACTATTCTACTCCTCATATGAAACAAACCGATAATAGTTTTCAATTCTAATTATGAATGGATTCTTTCATAAGCCAATAAGTGTTGAATAAGCGTTAGTAAATTTCTTAATTCAAATACAAGTAATTTGGTTAAACTGAATTCTAAAATCACAAACCATATCATGTATGATACGTTTCATATAAAACAGGTAAAATACAAGAAGTTCATAGTACTTAAAATAATAAGGGTTTATTGTACAAATAGAGATTTAGAAAAATTAACTATGCAGATCATATTTCTAGCAAATATATAGAATAACGTCCAATGTGTTTTATTAACTATAAAGCTTATTTATGTGATTTATGTTGTTTTTCATACTACTAACAACCATCCTTTGAACTCTATATGCATTGTTTACACCATATATATAATACAGGAATTCCCATTTTCTCAAACCATCAGTTGGGATAGAAAACGTTAGATGAGTAGTCATGAAAGCTCACATTAATCTGATTCATAATTTACATGATTATACAAAACCACAGTGTGTCACAATTTATAAATCTCAATAGATATATAACTAAGACATTTTGGGTTCAACATTGAATAACCTATATATAAGTTATTGACTGTTCATTACCAATCGATAAAAGACATGGATTCAATTCAAATAAAGCTCACAATAGAGAAGATAAGTATTAAAAATAGACTGTAGAACGACTATTCGATGAATACTACTAAAAGTAATACAGACTAAAAGACTAATCAATAACTAGTCACCAACTTTTACATTTTCCTGGATTCAATAGAAAAACAAAGAAACGATGAATATACCGTTGCTTCAGTTTGATATGGACTTATACATAATTAACACTAATTACCAGTAATTTCTGTAAAGAAATCATGAAAAGCATGAGGTTAACCGATAGCTGTTCTATCAATTTGTCAATAATAAACAGTATTGACGATAAGACGAATAAATAGTATACACCTTAGAATTATTTCAGAGTACTCCAGCAATTACAATATTGATTTGTTTTTCTGATATTTATGTATATGTGAACTCGACTATCTCAACTAGTGTTAAATTGGTGAAAAAGAGACGAAATCTAGAGAAATCATGTTTCATCCTAATAATCACATCCTCCAGTTTGGAAATGAAGTTGAAAACATGACTAACATTTTTATTTACGACTAAGTTGTACGGTCCTAAGACAATAACTAGTAACTTTACAATTATGTGATCTGGAGAATTGAACATACCTAGAACCAGGTAGAGATATTACGTGTGAATTTCGATTGTCTATAGAATAGTGCTTTTGATACAGTAGGTTTTAAAAAATTACAAATGTAATGTTTAGATTCTCTAAGAAAATTGTTAACTGTCTTCCTGCTTATGAACTGGTATCTTTCTATTGTGTCTTTAAAATTTCGTAAGATAACTACGCATTGAACTCATTTTAATCAATATAATTTCATTTGTTTATTAAAACTACGCATACTTTCTTGTCTAGCTTGCTTATGATCAAGGTTTTCAGAAGTAAATGTTCAAGCCTAAAATATGGAATAAATGTAGTAATACAAAAAGAAAGTGACTGATGAATAATATCCCCATTATATTTCTTTAAATGCTTACCACAAAAATTAAATGAATTGACAGTTAGTAGCAATTATACAACCGTTTAATAAAAAATCACACACACACGAAGTGACTAGAATTACGCACGACAGTCAGGGGTATATTTAAATGAAGATAATTAAGTAATGGTATTTATGTACGTGAAAAACGAGTTCATGAAAATTAGATAGTAACAAGAATAACAACAGTTCGATAATTATCGATAATACTCATGAAAAACTCACAAACAGGTTTGTAATAACAAATAAGAAGTGGGAACGAGTCGCATCATAGAAAAAGCCACTGAATACACATAATATTTATCACAATTATATGCAACTTGAAACTGATTTTTTATCTGTTTTGTAAATTGAGGCACTATGTAAACACATATACCGATCATTTGTGGAAAAAGACAAACCAACCAATTCGATGAGATAATAATCCTTGAAGTTTCCCTGAACAATAACATTTTACCAACCTTAAAAATTAATTGAATTAAAATGATCTTAATAGGATTAAACGATATGCCGTACAATCATTTCACACAATTCAACCATGAATAAGAAATATTGACAAAACAATTATATACTATTTGCTAGACAATTAAGTAGTTCATGTTATAAAGCAACAAAATCATCAGAAGTGATAAGATGGATTCAATGACCAATGTCAATAATTCTCAACAAAAAGGTTAACACGTATTAAAGTACAAATGAGTAAGATACACTTTAACAAATAAAGATGAATGAAATCTAAGAATTATGCAACTGATAAAGAGAATTTCAAATTAAAAATCAACAAGACAACTGTTTTTGCAAAGGTCAATAATTAAAAATAATAATAACAATAACAACTCTAGTAATGAATTAAATAAAACAATTAGGGGTCATATGATCAAGAATCCAATCAGCTGCAGGTTCCAATTTCCAATTGAATGCACTAATAATTTGACAACATGAATCCCAATTGATTAGACCTAATTGATAAAGACGACAAACAGATAAAAGGCGAATGGCCAATTGTACACGCCAAGCACTAGTTCTATCTAGTTTGGTCCGCCAAGTTTCTATAGGTGCAGTGCATGGAATTGGAGGTACAACTAATTGAGATATAAGTGGAGAAAATGGATTCATTACATGTAATAATGCCCAATGAGCTTCAGATAAAGTGCATCCAGGAACATGAGAACGAACAAGTGAAATCTGAAATGCAAAGAGTAACACCGAACGTGAACGAATTCGCAATAACTAATAGGAATGATATATGTATACATGTTAGTTTATTAGGCCTAAAAGTGTTCTATGTATATCAACAGTTCATATAACTCAGTTCAAATAATTAGTTTTTGAAGGACTAAAAGTGGCAGAACTTCATGAAAAATCTCATAATTTCCGAAAATGAAAGAAAAAACAAGGCTTGACACCTATCCGAATATTCTAGCCATCATAGAAATCGAATGACGAAGTGTGGAACGCGTATATTCGGTGCCTCCTAATACCAACGTTTGTGTTCAAATAAATAAATAGATAATCTGAGCTATTAAGAAACATAAAGAAGAATACAAGTGTTGTATCGTCGACACAAAATTACAGAGCATCACAATAAAATCTGAGAACTATATATTAAATTGTTAATTTGTAAAATGTCCACCGATTGTCTTAAAATGCCTCATACTTCATTGTTTTTACATTTTCATACAAATTGCATTCTATTCCCGCTTCTGCTTTCTTGATCTTCCCTCATCTTCTGCTGCCAGACATTACATTCCTGACTCGCATAATATACTACTTATATCAATATAAGTAGCACGCACCACAGTATCAAACTACAATTAAGTAATTATTATGAGGAATGTAAATGTTATCAAGGTTTGAAGTTAATTAATGTTAGTTTGGATTCGTTTTTTTTTAGAAAAAAACACTAGATAAGACATGAACACACTGAAAATATTCTTATGCAGCAAAAAACCTTAATAACATATGGAAAGCCAAGTAAATAAACAAATACCTTAGACAAAATCATTGAAAACTATTCCTTTTAAATGGTTGACTAAAATAAAAAAAACAACCTTTTTTTTGAACTTTTTATCATTGATGATACATTGAGAAAAAGTTTTGAGAATAGTTCATAAATAGAATAGGAAAATTTATTTATCAAAAACAAGGTAATTTCATGTTTGCATATACAAACAACAAATAATTCATAAAACATTGATATATGTATATAGAAACAAACAGACTAAGTAATATTGAATATATAACTTTAAGAAGTCATTAATGATTTACTAAAGTAATTCTTATTACAAAGAATAATTTGATGATAGTAGATGATGTTTTGTTCATTCTAAGTCGGCTAAAACGTAGAACCAGGCACATATATGCATCGGTCCAAGTTATCATACCGCGGGATTCATAAAAGTAGTTAATATATATATATATATATATATATATATATATATATATATATATATATATATAAGACAAAGATTGCATATAAGGATATAGTACAGGAAGAAAGAGTCCGTTTGTAGAAAGAAAGATATAAAACAATTTTAATCTCATAGTTTAAAGGAAGACAGAGAGTGTATACACCTACACTATCGATTCTGAGCCATATCATCCACAGTCTACAACCATTGGTTACGAGAGTCACGCGAACCACAAATAAGTACTTTGCATCTATCAACATGGCTCATACCAGAATTCGATGACTTCAAACACTGATGACACGTTTTGATTCAGCCACCTCTAACTTTCTTCCAACCATCCCCTACAGTAGTCAGAATTGCGCGTTGTGGTTATCGGTGTTCAGGCTCGAGAAACACATGGCCCAACCATCTCGGTCAATGAAGATTCACAATCTCATCAACTGATTTGCCATCATTCCCTAATACCCTACTTTTAACCTCACTATTACTTGTCCGATGATCCCAGCAGATGCGAGTAATATTTCGAAGACATCTGTGGTCAAATACTAGTAGCTAGCGAATATCTTCTACTCTTAATGGCCACGTTTCGCAGCCGTAAAGTAAAACAGAACAAACTGCTGAGCAGTTAACTCGTCGTTTAATTGATAGAAGGATATCTCGCCTTCGCCATAGGTGACGTAAGTTGTTTATCCTAAGTATATTAATCATTGCATATACATACACACACAAAAAAAGAAAAACTAACGGACTGTTTTAATAAGATGAAACGAATTGAAGGGTAAATATTACAGCCAGTAAGAGTAAGAAATTTTAAAATTGATGAATTATATCTAAATGAATTCCTCAAAATAAATATAGTTTCTAAAAAAACTTACTTCATCATTAAAATTATCTGAAGACTCAAAAACGTCGTTTAGTTTTTCATTCACTTGATGCTGAGGATTTACACCTTTAAAAAAACCGTATAAGGAAACAAATGACTAAGTTATACTTGATAAAGGAAAGTACAATGTAGACTAAACTACTCAGATTTCCTTATAGAACATAAAATTTATGATATAACTGAGAAATAAACTATAATCTCTATAATATTGTCGTATCAAGTGACTATAACATCGTGGTCTCCGAAGGATTGCTGACATCCAGTGGCAACATCATTTTAGTAATGCAGAGGTTTGTCACCGTGTGTTCAGGCACAGCGACGATAATTCAATTAGTGTCACTATGTTGAAACATCGACTTCAGTGGCTTGGACATGTTCTACGAATATCGTTCCAGAGAATTCTACATCGTGCATTATTTGCCGACGCTGGTACTGGTTAGAAAAAGCAGAGAGGTGGTCAGTGTAGGACATGGTGTCGCGGTACGAAAGAAAGCTGTACAGAACTGTCTTTACGACTACGTGGTTGGATTTTGGTGCGAAGTTCATTCATCTATTTAGCTAGGTAGCGTTTTGGAATTTTAGCTGATCTCAATTCGTGATGAAAATCTTAAATCCTAACCGTCATTTAGTCTTAGCTGGTAGGTGGACATTCTCAGGGTCACTTTAGAATCGCTCAAACGTTGTCAATAAATCATAGTCTCATCGATCCGAATATTATTGTATATTTAAAATATTAAAAAAACTATTATATTTGTAAACCGTAAAAAGATTAACTGAGTTGAGAGAAAAATCTGGTTGAATTTAGATTAAACATAATTCATAAGATTGATATCATATTTTTCGATGATGATCATTAAATTTAAGTCACCATAAAATCTGTAAGTTGATAGTCCATATGTTGTGAAAGAAAAAACTGTAAAAGTTGAGACGTATAGGTTTTTCTGATAAATTATCTTTTCTACAGGTATATTCTGTTAGCAATCAGTGTAAATCTCACTATTTCATCTATAAATTTGAAGTCATTCCACTCATTAATTAATATTTAAAACAAGTATTAAATTACCAAAATCTTTACAAACCCTTCTGATAGTAATCATCTCACTAGTGATTGGTTTCAAGAGGCATTTGCTGGAGTTCTAGTGAGAAGCCATGACCAGTGGAGATCAACCGGGTCTGTTGTGAGATAGTAACTCACTAAAGACGATGGTACAATTTCGTGGATTGGTTGAAGTAAGACATTAACAATGTTGGATGACTGCTTAGTGATCTAAAGGCTAAGCGCTAGTACGCGAAATCGAAGATCCCAAGTTCGAATCCCGCGGGCGGGATCGTGTATACTTTAATTGCTTCATGAATTCAACCATTAAACTACTAAAATCTCCATAAAACCCTCTTCTAATAAATATCTAGTCAATCAAAATTAACAAAAATGGAACCAACATGCAATTAGTATGTATAGGTATGACGTATACATTTCAAAAACTTATATTGATAAGTACGTAAACAGATTATGTAAAATATAATTAGATGTATAACTTAATTCTTATTTTTTTTAAAAAACCGACTTTACCTGAAGTAATATTATTTTCTGAGACAGAAACCTACACAGAAATAAAACAAGAAAAACAAATCAACTTAGATGATTATCTCACAATAAACAACATTCTGAAAATGAGTACAATCTGAAATTGATTTGATAAATGGAGAAAATAATTTGTCTACATATTATAACTCACAGTTTGTTTTTAATGAATAGTTATCTCTGTAATAATTTACAATTCCAGTAGGAACACACAATACTAATAAGAAGGATGCATTCAGTAGCAGCAATTATAATCAGTTTGGAAAGATTATAATCTTCGTTTCATAATTAGATCATAATTCACCGTTATTCACACTTACATTACAATTTTTGCCTGTCTATGTTTATTTTACTCCACTGTATTAATATATGCTATGAATCACAGCTAAAAAAGCTTAACTTTTACCATGGAAAAACCGTACGTTACATTAATTTTAAACAAAACTAGAAAATAGTAGAAAAATCACTGAATCGTAAACGAATGACTGAAATCGGTAATGTCGGGGCTAGATGTAACTAATTATTTCCAATGCATAGTGTGTTATGTCCTATGGCCCATCAAATAGTGAACAGTAGTGAACATAAATTTGTCTCATTTTCCAAATCCTTTATTTCATTCAGATATTTAATGGTTCACATATTGATTCACTTATATATTTATTGTTTAGTTACTAATTACTTTGATACATAAGTAAATAATTAACAACACGAGTGCTTATTAGTTTTGATAGCATTTTAATTTGTGAACTATGAAGAAACACACTAAGTCGATTTCCATAAAGAGTTGTGACTTAAACGACACGTCATAATGTCTTGTTACATGAATTAATTAGCGCCCCATCTATCAAGAATTCAATCAATAAAGTGGTTAAAAAATACGTACATTTCTGGTTGAATAGCATTAAAAAGTCAGGGAAAATCCAGAAAATAATTCGGCCAATAAGGGCATTTTCGAAGCTTACATAAGGAATCAAGCGAATGAGTGGTAATGTTTTTCTTGATCCTGATCGGAAAATTATTGAATACATCAAGAATTTTAGCAACTTTGCCTAAAATATCAAGGTCACCCAGGATCTTATAAATACCGCAGTTTTTCTGTACATATTGGGACCTATGAAGTAAGGTTTGTTTTATGTTTTCCGCCTGTTATTCCATTGAGTTTTAAAAGTAGGAGACTTTTGTGGACTAGAACGTTTCTAGGAAGCCAATATTTAGGCATTTAAGTACAACATATCAGGCAATTATTAAACACACATGTACACAAACAATAAACTGGCGAAAAAGTAAAATTTTCCAATCAAATCAATGTTATACAAACACAAGTTTTTATATATTAGTAGAAACCAAAAAAAAATAAAATCATACTTAGGGAACGAAATAATGATTTGGATCAAAAACCGTAACGAATAGAAAAAAGGCAAGAATAAAAGTGCAATGTAGATTCGAAAGTCCCAACAATACTCACCCAGTCTAAAATTCAACTCATTATAACTCATTGTTATGAAATTCAAAAAAAAAAGATAACAAACAATACAGGCAGTTCAATGTGATAGTTTTTGTTTGAAAACTGAAAGCAAGTGACACTAAATAGATATTGATGATATAAAGTAAAAAAAACACCACACCAGAAATGAGAACAAGAACCAGTTTGTCAAATTATGTTATATATATATATATATATATATATATATATGGTCTGAATAGCTAGAAAATAAGTAACCAGACTGTCAGTACACATGAAAAGTAATTGAAGTGTTTTCTGAACTATCTAGTAGTCTAAATAGTCATCGAATTATATTTTAAAGGAGTCCTGTATGAAATAAAGACTTTGGAAACATTTATAGTGATATAAATGATCGTATTTTAGTTTTGCATAATAATAATATAGTAATAACATCGAAATAAATATTATGCCATAATATTTAATAGTTTATATTTAAATTTATTATTATTATTATTAGGTTTATTCAATATTATAATTTTGGTACAATATAGAATTCTCAGCGCAAAGTATTTCAACAAGCTTCCGTTTCTTTCTTCTTGGTCGGTCCTGGCGATAAATATTGAGGAATCGCCAGTTAGATGTTAGCACTTCAGTGAATGAACAACTGAATAATGTACATTCTTTTCGTTGTCTCTTATTGAGTTTTTTGTAACTTTGACAACGAAAGGTTGTACACTTTTCAGAAACACAGCAGAATAGGTTATGCGATTAATAAACATAATGATATATTAAAACAAACAACAATAGATAACTTGTTGAAATATCTAGATGGCAGGAACAGGTAGCCCAGATACTCAAGCAGGCCGCCCTAGCGTAATTTAATATACTGAGTAACATAAAATAATTGAGGGTTAACACTCGATTTAACTGTTCAAACCTTACTTATGTATAACAAGTAATTTTTAATAAAATGTTAAGACATTGATATTCAGTTGTGTCATGATATTCACATCATGAGATTAACATTCGACTGTGTTTTTATAAGATGAATAAAGCTGAGTATGATACAAATATATGAATTTCACTTGAAAATTACAATAGCAATACAATTGGAAAAAAAAACTTTTTAAACAGATGTATTTTGAATAAGAATGAAAACTGTTAACTTATGACCGCTGTCTAATATCATGTGGGAAAAACAGTTGAAATCTGTCGATGCTAAGTTCTTATCAATGCTCTATTCAGTGGCTTCTCTCCCTGTGCTTGCCATTGAATCCAGAACACAGTAATCAGTCTTCACTTTACAAATATTCTATTTCATAAATACGTAGTTTACAGACATATCATACCATAAGATAGAAAATAACAACTACATATGATCAAGCCAACAAAGTGGCTGCGAGTACAGAAGACTGTGAATAATAAACTAGCAGCAGATTAAGAATAGTAAATCATATAGCGAAAACGTATGATAAAAGGGATATGAATATATGGTAATCTAGTTTCTGAATAATTATATATAAATATTGATAGTCCATAAATTAGTCTTGGAAGTTATCATCCCTTTAATCTTCATCCTGACATTAAAAAAAAACACAAGAACTGATGATACAAAAAAGCCAAGTGAATAATTTTATAAAAATTGATACAAGATAAAAAAAAATCAAAGACAATACAATTATTAAACAGTATTTATACAAACTGAAATAGTAAAGTTAACTAAGCAACTACAATAATCATTGTTAGTTAGAAATCATTGGATAGTTAGCTGTTTAATAATACAGAATTAAGTGATTATTATTTTTCTTATAAATATTTGAAAATATTACTGATAAGAAATACTTATGAAGGTTGACAAGCAAAGAAAAAAGAGCACCGGTTAAAAGCAAAGAAAATATGATAAAATAATCATTAATTATACACTTGTATATGTATGTTATTAAACAGTAAATAACTTACACGACTACAGATATTTAACGAATCTGATTTTGAAATGTTATTTAAGCAAAATAAATACAAGTATATATAGGTACAGCACAATGAAATATAAGTAAATAAAGCGATGTAAATAAAATAGTAACAAAATGATAGCCCAGCAATAAAGATATTTATAGTTTACATTACGAACTGATATTTATCACACTAATAGGAATGAATGATGTTTATTACATATGACTAGTTGATCAAAGTTAGAAATATAAATTACCGAATGGTTACGCAACATCTCTTCTAACTATTGGTTATGATAATCATGCGGACCACAATCCAGGTAATCTGAACTTGCCGACATGACTCAGTTCAAAAGTTGATTAGTTCATAAACAGATAACTCCTACTCGTTGGGCCGCTTCTAACTTTGGTCTAATTAAAAACTAGCTAGCACTCGTCATAGAATGGATAATTCTAAAAAATGAAATCATTTACTCACAACCATAATGTAAAGTTTAAATATACATATACTTGTCAAATTGTGATATTTTCTTACAACAGTGATCAACAATATTATTTTACAATATATTAAGCTTACCGTAACAGAATTAGTGAATTTATCATTTGTCGGATTAAAAAAGTTAGGATTTGAATTCAGAGCTTCTGATGAGTTAGTAAGAAGACCTAGGAAGACACAAAAATAACAATAACTAAAGATGGAAATAAAGTAAAGTGGTTATATTTGCATATGAAACACATTTTTTATAATATTTAATTAGTCTAATTACGAATACAAAAATTGGATATTAACGATTATTCCATAATAGTTGAAAAATGAACAAACAGAAAAGATCGATTATTGCATATAGAATTTACTTGCAAACCCAATAATTCACAAGACTGAAACTCTCTTTTGAGTCTCTGCAACGATAGTTGTTTGTAATATAATGCATTATATATCGATCGTTGAGCTGATCTCGGAGGTTGTCAAGTCAGTAAAAACATGCCTCCATCTATATGCCTCGAGTTGAATAGGAAGATTTGTCAAAGTATATATGTAACAGATGGTTATTATTATCAATCAGCTTCTTTGGAATACTATGACCTGATACTGCCTAGGTACCCAAAACGAAGAAGGTGGTTTTGTTAGGAGAACACACCAACAGCCTTCGACTTAAACGTCTGACCCACAAGGCAGTGGATCAACGTCAGAAGATGCAGTCCCATGGTAGCCGATCACCAATGATTGGTTCATACGCCATTTGTTCCCTTAGGATAGTGGGGCCCATGTACACCATTGGTTTGGAGTCGGGGTTTTCCAACTCCCCTGGGTGGATCCTCCGAGACCATCAACCCGGTTAAAGTGCCGTACATTCGCTCTTCGTCCTCTCAGTTTCGTAAACAACACCCCCCACCGCGAGAAGGCAGTGAGTAGTATGCACGTGGCTATGTGAGAGTATTTCGAAAGGGAGGGCTGGCTCTCCCACCGTCGGCCTTACCGGGACATTTGGGGTGTTATTACTATTATTACAACGGCTGCTTCTATCACGATATTTAGATGATGAACTATGTATTTTCATCTCAACTTAACGATAATCACTGTTATCCTCACAATGGGTTTTGTGGAGAGTTTTAGAAATTTTCACAGGTTGAAGTCATGAGTCAATTGAAGCTAGACCACCATGGAAAACCTTGAAGCACTAGACGGCCGTTTCGTCCCAGTATGGGGCTCCTCAGTAGTGCGCATCCACGACCCCGCACCCAGCGGGGTTCGAACCCAGGACCTACTGGCTTCGCGCGCGAGCACTTAACCACTAGACCACTGAGCTGGCCGGCATCCAACGGTGTTAATGTCTAACTTCAACCAATCCACGAAGTTGCGCAACCGCACAAAATTGTCTTCAGTGATAATATATTCCTCATGGTTTATAAATTTTCTTCTTTGTTAGTTAATTGTTTATTTAAAATTATTCAGTCGAATTTTATAAAGGAACTAATGATAATGCATATCTATATATACAATTGTAAAGCATTGAAAATGAATTCATTGAAAAATATTCCTTTACCGAATAAAATCTTTTATATGACCGAATGGGTATATTTTATTTAATATAATTAAATAAAATAATTCACGTCTTTTTAGATTCTATTTTCCAGATCAAAATTAATATGAGTAGAAAAGAAAAATATACCACAGTTACTACTTAAAATGTTTTTTTACGCCTGATACTCCTAATGAAGCATAGGTCGCTGACCAGCATTTTTCTGGTTAGTGTTTTTTCGCGAGTTAGTTTTCTACAGGATGGGGTCGCTAACCTCATGCCGAACCCTCCTCCTTTATTCGGGCTTGGGACCGACAGTAGCCCCCGGGGAGATTCCAGGCGGAGTTACTTAAAATGTTAATTTACATATTTTTATCAGTATTTATAAGTCTTTTACCAATTATTAGACAATTCAAAGAAGGATTCCCTAGTCATCATTGTATTTTCGCACACCTATTGCACATTCAATTCTGCCAACATGACTATAAATAAAATTAAGCCGAGCAAAGACCTACTATAACAGAAGCCTCGGAATCAGTAGGAATCAACCAAGATTCGCAAATACAACGAGTAGAAAACTAACTCGATCACATTTGATGAAGAAACTCTGAAACAGGTGGAAACTTTCACGTACCTGGAAAGCATCATCGATGAACAAGGAGAATCTGATGAAGACGTAAGAGCATGGATAGGCCGCATTCCTACAGTTGAAGAACATATGAAATTCAAAACAACTGTCAACCAACACCAAAATCAAAAACTTCAATATGAACATCGAAACAGTTCTATTGTACGGAGCTGACACGTGAAGAACTATCACAACCATAATAAAAAAGCAAAAGTATTTATAAACAATTGTCTACGAAGGATACTCAATGTCTGTTGATCGGACACCATCGGCAACAACCTACTGTGGGAAAGAACAAACCAGCTTGGAAATGAAGAGGAAATTAGGAAAATTTGCTTCAGGTGGATAGGATAAACATTGAGGAAATCACCGAACTGCATCACGAGGTAAGTACTAACTTAGAATCCTGAAGGGAAACAAAAAAGAGGAAGACCAAAGAACACACTGTGTCGAGAATTGAAGGCAAATATGAGAAGGATGGATAGCAACTGGAAAGGATTCTCCGCGAGAGAGTTCGATGGGGAATGCTGGTGGGCGTCCTATGCTCCTCCATGAGGGGTAACAGGTGTAAGTAAGTAATCAAAAACTTGATATTATCAGAACAGACAATAAATACTAACAATTAAAATTATATATATAGTGTACTATCGATAAAATCTGAGTATATCTGGAGTATTTTTAAATATACAGAAAGAAACTGATCCAAAGGAAAAAGAAAAAAATTCCAACAATAAAAGTGATTTACGTTAATCGCATACAAATGTAACGAATAAGTAAACTCGAAGCTTAGCTAATTGTTTAAGCTTAGAAGTATATTACGTGATTTTACGGAAATCCAAAAGAAAATGGTACTCCTTCTCATGATGATAAAATGCTCACGAAATAACAGAAAATACGAATAAACTTACATGATCTAACAAGTAATTCATTTTCTAATCTAGTAGTGCAATGATCAACATTTTGTTTAGTTGAAAATACTGGACTACTAACAGTTGGTGTTTGATGTGAGATATTATTATTATCATTATTATTATTATTGCTATCGAACACCATATCTAAAACGTCTAATTCGGTTTTATGGTTTAGATTATTAACAGTGGTATCAATCTTATCGGCGCACTGGGAATGTTGTTTAATATTTAACTTATTAAAATCAAAAGGATTATCAGAAAAATTAACTGAATTTGTTTGTTTTGCTGATTGATCAACACTGAAATTCAAAGAAGAAGGAAAAGGGAAAGATGTACAGTATGATCTTTGCATGTTAACTTGAGGATGAAAAGGATCATAACAATATCGATTTTGAGTGTTATAATTGAGCTGTGAAGAAACATTATAATTCATTTGTAAAAATGGATTTGATGAATAATTGATTGTAGACGGGGATACAGTTCTAGGTATAAATACAGAAGAATAAGGAGTAGGCTTAATGATCGATGGAATGTAAATTGGGGCGGTAGGAACCTAAACAATAAAACAAAAATAGGTAATTAACAGAGTTAAGTGCAAGTAAAATGGAAGTACGAAAAATTAACACAATATTACACACGTTAAAGTATCCGCAATGTCTTTTTTAGTTACTTCCAAACTGGAGACTGATTACCTGTTAACCTATATGTCTATAGAGATTGATGTACAAACGCAACATATATTTCAATAAATAGAAACAAAGAAAACTAAGATCACGTTTCCATCAAATTTGTATAATTAATACCAACGTTATAAAGTGGTTTTATCATCATTGTTATAAAGAAAGTAATGAGAATCACTTAAAGGCCTCGGTGAGATGGAATGTAATAGAGCTACAGATTTTTTTCAACTTACAGTTTGTAATTTATGAGTTCCAGATTTTAATATCTATGATATAGGATAAAATCTATGGCAGTCGAATACCGACCATACAGAAATTTAAATATCACTAAAAACAATGAAGAACTGTTTCAATACTTCACAGTTTCAAATTAACGAATACAACGAAGTAAACACATAAAGATTTGTGAGTAACAGCAGAGGGAATTATTATTCAATTGACCAAGATGTAATAAGTTAAAACCTTATTATGCATTTTGGTTGAGGGTTGTTTTAGTACTTCTGGATACTTAATAAATAATCCTATACAGTGAATTAATTGAAATAAAATCAATACTGATAGTATTATGAGTCTAATATGATGTGTAAGTAAAGTATTAATTAAATAAAGTGAGAGTGACCTACAAAATTGGTTACATTTAATCGTTTATGACATTCAATCATGTATATGTCTCAGTAATGAAGTTATAGCGATTAGTCCCCTTTATAAATTTCGATGGAACAATGAGAAGACGGCGCTGATGTGGACAAATAAGTCAAATGTAAGCACTTTATATTATCAAATGGACGAAGTCTATCCTACTGGGCAGCTGTATTTCCTTCTGAAATCGGCTTCATTAGTGGTTTAAGTCAATTGTTCCGTCATGTGACCAGCTATCACTGTACATCATCTACCAATTGAGATTCTTTTATCTTATTGTAACAATTAAAAATCCATTCATCACATGAGAGGATCAAACATCGATTTCATATCCCTGGTTCAAAAGATATTTTTCATATTTAACAATCGGAAACTGAATTGACATTGAAATGTGATTAACAACTGTGTTAGAAAACAGTGACACAACTAATCAACTGAAAACAAAATAGTTTGAATTACGATGAGAATTTTCTGTCCGCTTTTCTATTTATTTCTATCTAACAACACCGACCAATTAACCAAGGTTAGACTAGAGATAATCAAAATAAACTAAGGAACAGACTTCCAAATGATTACTTTGTCAATAACAATTGAAAAAGAACAAGAAAACTTACCGTAATACGATATCTGGGGATAAATGCTGACGGATCTGGTACAGGACTGTAAAGATCAATTAAAGGTGGGGCTGATGGTTGGCAATCAAAATCTTTGGCACTGATAGAAGAAACTTCATCTAATAAATTGTCAAGCGAAAATGAATGTTTTTTCGAAGGAGTTATACTTTCAGAAATTGATGATATATTGTGTTTTTCAACTTGATGACTATTACTCATTGTACTAATGTCAGATTTATTAGGATTATTATCTTTATCAGATAAATGTTTAACATTATCTTTAAATTTTGTAGATTGTACAGAAGCATCAGAAGACTTTTTGTTGTTAACGTCATCTGCAAAGATGACATTCTCGTTTTCTTCCGGTCCAGGAGGTGGTGGCAACATTGTTATGGGATTATAAATACAAACTACAGAAAATGAAAAGAGAATAACATAATGACCAGAAGGAATACGGTTGTGAATTCAACTACTATATACCCCCACAGTAAATAGGATCACTGAACTAATAATAATAATAATGCCCTACACATAGACAATAACACAAAAGACCTGTTATCCTAACACTTATTGGTACATGCCGATTCTCCTATGCTCCAATGCCCAGTTATTAAGAACTCGGAAAGACATATGGTGGTATGAATTAGTTACAAGACATAGCGTTAGTAGAGAAACACAAACTGTTCATAAATAGATCATTTACAGTGTAAAACTGAGTAATAGGTGTATGATTAATGAATCATAATTTGTGAACGCGGAAAGATCTATGAATATTTGATGATTTAAATTAACAATTACGATAAGAGCAATCTGAAAACACCATAAAACAAAATATTTTATACATGGACAATTAAAATAATAATAGCTCAAAGTAGTATAGTTATAAAAGTTCCATCTTTGTTACTTATCTGCCGATTGTCTAATAAATACTATTTTCATTTATTGAGATCATTGACCGATCAATGTTAGACCATCATTGAAAACCTGGCAGCATTATACAGTCAGTTAGTCAGTAACAACGTAGAACTTCGTACGTACGTACATCAGTTCGAGTTGCCACACCACATTAGCACACAGATGTAGTGGTCGATTCAAATCCCGTAGTGGTAGAGGTAATAAGAGTATAAGTAGTAATCGGGAAAATTAGTGTTTGGAGATGTTATTTAAAGAGTATAATACAGTGAAATAAATTTGGGAAGAGAAAAAAAGGAGACAAGGAGGAATAAGGAGATCAAAATTTGGGAGAACACAAAGAGTGTATGCACCTGCGCCATTGCAAACGATTTTGAGCCATGTCGTTCAGGGTCTTTAACCATCGGTTGCTATCATCTCGCGGTCCCCAACCAGGTAGTCTACACCGTTTCATTCTAGTATGGGACTCCTCAGCACTGTACATTCACAATCTTGCAGTCAGGACTCGAATACAAGACCTAAGGTCTCGTGCGCGAACGCTTAAACTACAGACTACTAAGCCGGAATTCAAAGGTGTTGTCTAATCTCAACTAATCAACGACATTGCGCGACTATCTTCCATTGCAAATCTTAAAATAATTCAAAACTTGTATATCTTTTTCCTAGTTGGGTTTAGGTATTAACTGGTTAAAATAATATGTTAAATGTATGATACTGTTATCTAGTTTCTCAAAATGATTGATATCTAAAAAGATTGAGTGCTTTCAACCCATTACAATTATTTTATCATGAACAAACTTTTACGGATGCTAAAATTCTAGAAGTAGACAAGTTAAGCATACAACTTTGATAATATCCTTTCAATTATCATTAAAAATTTATTTTTTATCATCAGTGGATTACTGACAGATTTCAAAAATGTAGCTTATATGTAAATACTGACCATGCGTTCTAATTACTGAGAACCCTTGAGAATTTCTCAGGACTCTTCTGAAACTGGGAAATGGCTAAAAATACATACGTCAATCAGTGTCCAATATAAAATCCCTGGAATTCTAGAAGAATAGACTTTTCCACATCCTGATTGCATAATTACCGACATAATTATTAATTTTATTATAATTTTAGAAGCCTTTAAGTTAACAACAGTTTGTTTTCTATTCAGAACTCAAGTGAAGAACTTATTTGGATGACTAAGAAGCTGTTAGAAGATCAGTGTCAACCAGATATATCACTTACAGAACATCAAGACATTACGTTTATTAATGAAAGTAAATGAAATATGAAGATAATTCGAAACATAAAGCTAAGAAAAATGAAATGATATGAAACAGAATTAACTTACACTGACGACAAAAATATTCAAAACATTAGTGAAATTTACCTTCATGGTCATTGTAGCCATTTGCAACATAGTTGGCAACTGACTTTCTATGACTGTTTATTAACTCAGATTTGGGACATTTTCGTAATTCCACATTATAAGCATTTAATCCTACAGTTGAATTAGGTGTTTTATCAAGAATTCTTCGCTCATCTTGCTCTCCTTTATTATTATTATTATTATCATCATCATCGTCATATTTATCCAAATCTGGTGCATTTGAAAGTGATAAGTTAGTGAACAGACATCCATAAGACGAAGAATACGAATCCATAGTACGGCATACTGATTCATTTTCTACATCATTAAATGTAGAAGTTCCAATCAATAGTGAATTATCATCAAATGGTAAGAGATTGTGATTTGAACAATTGAATAAGTTTTTAGTTTTTATTTCATTACATTTTTCATCAATAGGAGTAGGAGACCGGTCACAATAACTACACGAATTAGAAGAATAAAATATTTTAGACACGTAAACTCATACAAAGAGAGATTATTAAATAACAGTACAAACTTGAAAGAAAATGATCACAAAAATAATACTTATTTTATCCAAAAGTAATCTATACTACTTAAAAAGAAAAAAAACTATTACAGTCAAAATTTGATCAACTTTTGGGATCCAGCTATGGACCAGTACTGTGCGTATATTTTTATCGTATAACTGTTAAATAAATAAACTACTCATATTCATGTTCCTCTTACTATGAGCCTTATTTTGACTTATGAACTATTATTAGATGATTTACCATTCTTGAATAATGTCCTGTCTATTAATCACTACCTCCCACATTCACAGCCACATTTGGCCAAATCTTGTACAAATATTGTTTCCTATTTTATAGTACGATGTGGTCTGTTTGATTAGTATATAATCCCCGTATGTTTGAAATAAATGATTCATATCTCAAAGGTTGAGATTGGTGTTATGGACTTCACTAGCGGGGCTAGGCAGGAAGCAGGACCGATAAGTATTCTAGACTGTTTGTACGGGTTTTACGCGTCACTGGTTCGATCGATAAGTCACTGCTCTTCAATGGGCGGCATCGTTACGTTATACATTAGCAATGAGCACAGGCCACAAGTTATAACGACATTCAATTAAATTATAGATTCTTTAACATTTCGATCACAGTAATCAACAAATAATAATTTAAAAATTAATTACAAAAACCATAAGTATTCTAATAAATTACATTACAAAATACATTATTACAAAGAATTTATACATATAATTACAATATAAATCACTGTGTAAATGAATGAAAAAAAGGAGAAATCAGTGAAGAAAATTTTCTTCTCGACGAAATCATTTACTTAAGTTGTATGTTTGTGTTATATCCGAGCGAAGATTAAATCACGAGTAACTTCTGAAACATATTAATTGACTAATATCATCTATACATTCTTATGGTATAACTATTCAATAATTAGATCATGTATATTTATATTCCTCTTGTTATAAGCTTCATTTTGACCCATAATTTATTACCATACGATTTACTGTTCTTAAGCTATGTTCAGTTTATTGACTACTGCCTCTCACGTTCACAGTCACTTTTTGGCTTTATTGTGTACAAATGTTATTTCCTATCTTACGGTGCGTTGCGGTCTGTTTGGTTGATATATAAACAGAGTATGTCTAAAATAAATGATTTGATTCGATTCGCATAGTGGAAGCTGGTATTGGTGTTCTGGACTCAGGTGGACGGGTTAGGCGGACATAGGGCCAATAAGGACGCTAGACTGCCCATACCGGTCGAACGTCATTGGTTTGGCACAGTGCTAAGATTGTATAAGTCGTATTTTGATTGGTGGATAAATCACGTGATAAAAAGCCTAACATAAAGTCACAACAGTTTGTATATTTATAACTATTTGATAAATATTTATGGTAAACATTGATTGATCTTAACATGACTTTTGTAATGTTATACAAAAGTGTTGAAGTGCGTATACTAAGGTTGATGGAAGCCATAGCTATATGAAAATTCAACGCTATTTTATGTATTCAAAAACAGTTTGTTCTCTCTTTAAACCTAACCTGATAATATTGGGATTAGAAATTAACACCATTGGATCCCGGCTCAGTGGTCTAGAAGTTAAATATTCGTGCGTGGGACTGAAGGTTCTGAACTCAAGTCCCGCGTGCGGGGTCGTGGATGTGCACTGTTTAGTTGTCCTATATTAGGACGAAACAGTATTTCAGTGCTTCCAGGTTTTTAATGGTGGTTTAGTTTAGTTTGACTCGAGTATTCAGTTGGTTATATTAGTTTATTGTCCAGTGTGATGAGCATTCACATTAGTTTTTCAAATTATTTTCTTTATCATCTTTGTTTCTTCTTACTCACTATATGCCTAGTTGACCTTTTCTTTTCATATATAAATGTTTTTTTAAAAACTATATGTGTGATCAGGTTGTTCGGAATGTATTACAGCAATATATCACATAGTTCTGATAATCGTCTTCTTAATATACGATCAAAGTAAATGATTTCATCGAAAAGAGAATTTTCTTCCCTGAATTCTCTTTATTTCAATTCAATGACCAATATAGTTTAAATGAAATGTATACAATTTTTATTATGTTCATATAATTTATTACTCAATTATGAAATAGCTAGTTGATATACTTCATAATGAAGTATTAGCAATTCACTTTGACTCCATTCTATTATTTCAATTTAGATGCAAATTACTGTATTAGTTTGGATATTTGTCAATCATTCCAGGAACTGAACCTATCATAAAAACACTTACTGGAACAGATACAAAAATCCTATCAGTGTGAGGAAGCAATATGAATGAAATCAGCGCTAAAAGTGACTTTTATCGTGATGAAATGTGGTTAAAGTTAACTCAATACTTTTTTATCCTAATTGAACTAGTTGCGAACTTTAGTAACGAGAACAAAGAACAAAATATGGTGAGATTTGACATGGTAATGAGAATTAAAAATGTAGGGATGATGGATTTTTCAAAATGCAATTGAAAAAAATATTTGAGACTATCAGACAATCTTTGGCATTATCAATCCCTAGATAATTAACTCAGCTTAGTATACTTACGTATGCGATATGTTGTACTGTAATAAACTCGATTCTGTTTGATTTTTATTAATATGTTCATTATGTGACAAAGAATCACGACGCGATGATTGATTTATATCATCAACTATATTGAGAGAAAAGAACAAAAAATGAATTCAGTTAGAAAGATGAAAAAATCATCTTTATTTAAAGTTAAATTTAGCGCGAAATATTGTAATGTGTCCCACCATTAGGACTACCTAGTTGATTAACTTGCGTGACAAAAAAAATACCTGTCTAACTTATTTAATGTTTATCTTATGTATCAAGTACATGTAAAATGTATGTAGAATACATTTGGATATGGTTTTGTGCAGCAAGATTCAAACTTAAATTTCTCCAGTTGACACGATATAGATGAGTATACACATCATGTGTTTGTGCTCATAAACCATTTCAAAATCAAACAACAGGTTAGAGATTGTAAGCGAGACATACTATTAGAGGAAGTTAGCGTTGCATTCATAGAAGGTCTCAGTTTACATAAACTTGTTTAAGTCTAAAGACATATTTGTTATTTCTGTACATTACTATTCGAATGGGCAATCAAACTAGTGATTATTAAAATATTTTCATTCGTGTAGTTGGTTTGGTGTACCATAAGAAGTGTATAACTTCATTGAATAGGGCACTGGGGTATAATACTAGTTCAGAATGATTATCATGAAAATAAACATTGTTCATTAGTTTTAAATTAGTTATATTCTGATGCCCGCGATGACGTTATCGTGAAACAAAAAAAAACAGCCATAAAATGATATATATTCTTCTACAGAATTGTCATAGCTAGTATAAAGAATGTTATATGTAATGTGTTCAACGTGAAAATTTTCTTTCACTTTCCTATTTAAGATACTTAACAGTAGAAGATGAACTAACGTACACAGTGAAAAGTAACACTGTAAACTTTAGGTGAAAACAAAAATAAAGCAATTTGTAGTCTTATTGAAAATTCTTGATAATATGAATGTTTATCAATTCTGGCAAATTATATCAAGCATTTAGCTTGATGATATTTTCACGATAATATTTACTTTTGTGAAAATTTTATTTAAAATAATCTTAGTGACTAAAATTTAAATAGTTCCAATGTTTCATCTAGCAAACTTGTCTGGAACATTCTTTGATCATTTTAATTATTACACAGAAGAAGTTCAGACAAGTTTGCCTGATGAAACATTGGAATTATTTAAATGTTAATTACTAAGATTATTTCAAATAGAATTTTAATACAGTTTCTATTAAACTATTCGTTTAAATATTGACAAATCTTTGTATAAACAATGAATTTCATTTTACAGTTTAAATACTAAACGAACAAAACTAATCATTAAAATATACAGTTAAAAGATATTCATTTCTGACAGTCTATCAGCTATATTCTCCTGTTAAGTTTACCTTATAATAGCATAAACGAATATGATTTGTATAAAGAATCAAAATTCCAGATATCAGTTAAAGAAATATTAAGAAAAGCAGAATAAAATGTATCCAGCATATTGATTATTCAAGTGAATGTTCTATGTGGACATAGATAAGCATAACTTACATGTCTGTGTAGTGTTTTTACAAAGTTGAACAATACCATGTGGAAATGAGCCTATTTCACCAGTCCGTCTATTTTGACCACGCCACCAAAATTCACGGGGTTTTCCGTCAATAATAATAACAATATCACCTGCTTCTAAGCCTAAACGATCAGCTTCATCAAGATTTTGAGTTGCCATGACGATAGTTGGACGAATCTATCAATTTTGTCACAAATATAAAGAATTACAAACAAATGGTTAAAAAAACACAAAATCATATCCAAACAATGAATCTTACATTTCATAATGAAAGAATTCGAAATAGTGAAGTGAGTATTCTTATATTTTTAATTTTCTTGGATTCGAATAATGCAAGGTAAGAGGAAACTCACAAACTGAACATTAGCAGATTACAAGCAGTACTCAGAATAGATAGAAATACAAGGTCAATTATACGGAAGTTTATTTCATCGTAATATATAAATGCTTAGTGTGAACAATTATTGACAAAAAGCACACTACTAATTTAAAATGTGTGAAGACTGAAAGCTCTCAGTTTCTCTCAATCAATACACCATTAAACAGTTGTTTATAAAACGGTAATGATTTTACTCACGTTTGGGGGAACGAATCGGCTAACACATAAAATAATTGTTACGATAAAATATTCTCAGTATGAGCTTGTAGAGATTATTGAATTTCATTAAAATCATGAACCGATCAATGCTAGACCATCACTGAAAACTTGGACGGCCGTTTCGATATAGTATGGGACTCCTCGACAGCTCGCACCCATGATCTTATACGTGGGAACCGAACACAGGAAATTCGGTCTCGCTAAATATTTAGACCACTGAGCCGGCATCCAACAGTGTTAATGTCTAATCTCAACTAACCAACGAGATTACACGACCATCTTCCATCGTCTTCGTTTGGTAACCGCCTCACACCCGATACGGATTAACTTCACTGGTAACGGTTTCTCACTAGAGACAGGAGATCATAGGTCAGATTTCTGCATGAGGGACCGTAGATGTGTACAGTTGAGAAGTCCCATACTAGGGCGAAACGGCTATACAAAGCTCCCAGGTTTTCAATGGCGGTATAACTTGGATTAGTCCATGATTTCAATGAAAATGGAGCATTTTGAATCCCGATTAAACATTTAAGCCGATTTATAAGAACTGTTATTTTGGCACTGTTACTAAACAAGGTATATTACTTTGGTAGAAACCGTTCTGAATTGAATTGACCATTACATTGTTGAGGCTAACCAGTAATAGTAGAGTGGTTGTATCAACTAACCAACTAACTAACTAACGGAGTAGTAACTGCTGTATGCTATTCCAAGTGATAAATTAAAGATACAAACATATAAACATTGTACTTCAGTTAATTTGTGGATCACCATACAATCCTACTACAAACCTGCAACTACTGTCAACTTGAATAATGATAATTAGCAGTTATACATTGTAGGTTTAGCTTTAATGCTTTGTTGAACTATTGTTGAATGGAGAACTGATTGGTAACCGATTTCCAGATGATGGAGATAATAGTTAACAAGTTAGAAGTTGGGGTCTCAATATTGCTACACGATAAGTAGATATGAGGGCATTAAAGACCTTTTAAAGTTATGAGTAGCATCAAAAATGTAGATTATTTGTTGTATTTTTTTACCACAGTATATATTGCCAATTGAAACAGCAATCAATAAAGACTCATAAGTTTTGCAGTAGATTGCAGGATAAATTTTACCTGATCTAATCTTTCGGCGAGGTAGGAAAAGGTCGGTCGACGATACGGTTCAGCTCTCCAACAAGCTAACATTATCTGGTATAGACGACGTGGACAGTTAAATCGGGGCCATGCCAACCTACGACCAGAATCTAAGAGCTCTAACAAACGCACAGGAGTAAGACCTGACCAAGGATCTGCACCACCGGTCCACATTTCCCAGAATGTAACACCTAGACTCCAAATATCACTTGCTTCAGAAAAGGTTCGTTTATGCAAAGATTCTGGAGCGGACCTAGAGATACAACAAAACACAAAAGATCTACTTATAGCTATGTAAAATTTAAATACCTTGCAGTGAATTAAGGGCGATAAAAGCTTTTTGCCGTAGTTCCTCTTAGGATAAAATGTGCACGTCATTCAGATGTACAATAGAAACGCTGTAAGACAGAAATCACATTGATCTGAAGTGCATATTTACTAATAAGGTGTTTTTCGTGTTCTCGTCAAGGGAAATTACTGACTTCCTAAACATTTAAAAAGCGCAACAATAACAAGAAGGCTACTACCAATAATAATAATAATAACAGAGGACCCTACAGTTTATCAGCTACTTCACGCAGATCGATTACAACTCATAGCTCTTGTTGTGATAATCACAGTTGTTACATTCTCCAATTTAATACTGTTTGGACACTTCACTTGACTCATCTCAAGTGAGAACAAAAATTAAGAGGTAGCAAATTATATTTTAGTAAACTGGAACAAAAAAAGTAGTATAAGGACTGAAATTTACATGGGGATCTTCTTACATCTCGACTCATCCTCTGACTCTGGTTAACTGAAAAATGGACGAATCAACTTTTGCCTATTTGTGACCAAGCTAGGCATGCAGTAGTCAGGAATCTATTGTACTAAAATCATCATTTAGTTCGATGTGACCTAATAAATGTTTATATAATCCTAAATTCTAAAACTTTAAATATGATAATAATTGAGTACGAAGTACCAAGACGCCAAACGTAGCCTTGAGATTGCTTAATATAACTGCAGTTTCAGTGTGTATTTATTGAAACAGTTGGTTTCGATCAATGAACATAGACTATATTAGCCTTTGGATAGATTAGGTTAAATCGGAAGACAGCTAACACTCTGTTTAGTGTTGGGAGATTATTAAAAAAATTTATAAAGTCAGCTGGATCATTGAGAATGTCGTAGTCACAGTATGCTAACACAAATAACTTCTATCCTACAGTTATCACTGTTATAAATCAAATCATGCTATTGTCCTCCTAATTACGTTTATTTCTAGTGCATTCTAAGACAGATTACTTGTGATCAAAGTGGTCAAAAAGTTTGAGATTAGCATAAAATAATTTTTAATAATATCAGTCGATTCACTTAGCTACTGTTTTTATTAGCATTATCTATTTTACTAGGTTTTCCATAAATGTTTGTGAATCACAGTAAGTTACGACAAATGCATTGCCAACCATAAGATATAATATTTATATATTTATGTTGTAAATATCTCTTTCGTTGCGCAGGCAATTCAGTGGTAACGTTTCAGACTATGAAGTTGGGCTACGTGGGTTTGGATTTACTTGTGAACATTAATTCTTTCAATATTGTAGGTATGCCTTGTTGACGAGTGACAACTAACGCGAAAACTACGTCTTATAGCATTTCCTATTGATTAGGTCCAACCACATAACACATCGTATGATGTCTGTTTCCATCAAAAAGTCTAAATTAAAAAGTATGACGAAAACGATTTCTTGCTTAAAAATAGGTAGTTAACAATGTGAAGAGAATTATTTATTTTATTTATTCATTTAAGCACATAAACATTGGTAAAAGGAGGCACCAAATAGATATGTGCCACATAAATCATTCAATTTGTGTGAGGGCTGGGATACTGTCCTGGTGCCAAAAACGAAGTAGGTGGTTTTGTTAGGAGACCACACCAACAGCCTTCGACTTAAAGGTCTGATCCACAAGGCAGTGGATCAACGTCAGGAGATGCAGTCCCATGGTAGCCGATCACCAATGATTGGTTCATACGCCATTTGTTTCCTCAGGATAGTGGAGCCCATGTACACCATTGGTTTGAAATCGGGGTTTTCCAACTCCGCTAGGTGGATCCTCCGTGACCATCAACCCGGTTAAAGTGCCGGATGTTCGCTTTTCGTCCTCTCAATTTCGTAAACAACACCCCCGCCGCGAGAAGGCAGTGAGTAGGACTTCCCTGGCAGTGGTTGGTATGCACGTGGCCGTGTAAGAGCATTTCCAAAGGGAGAGCTGGCTCTCTCTACTGTTAGCCTTACCAGGGCATTCGGGAACAAAAATGAATTATAAACATATGATTTCAGTCCTAACAAGATGAAGTTTAGACAAATATCAGCTTGGGACTTGATATACAAATAAATATTACTTTGACCTTCATTTACTATCATTGGTCTCGGCTTTGGTTTGTTATTGAATTATACTTCAAAACGTGCTTAGAGTTATGTTTAATTGTATGGTGTCTGCCTGTCTGTCTATCCACTTAATCTTATTGAATAAAATTTTCTTTGTTAATGATGTGATTTTTAATGTATAGTCGGGAAGAACTTAATATATTTGGATAGCACATTATAATAGTGATCACGATTATGAGTTAATTACTTACCAGGCATATGGAATTTTCTGTTCTGAACATCCAGTATAAATTGGTTCATTTGATTCATTTTCATTTAATATTTTCTTATTTACTGTACATGATTCTAATGATCGAACTAAACCAAAATCAGCTATTTTAATTTGAGGATATTCATTTTTTGAAATTGATGAAAGTAAAATATTTCTAGCTGCTAAATCGCGATGAACTAGTCCTTGAGATGTTAAATAAGCCATACCATGAACAATTTGAATAGCCATATCCCATAATGAATCAATTTGAAGAGCACGAGGTACAGATGGGAAATGTGCTCTTACTTCATTTGTTTTATTATAAGAATTATTATTATTGGCACATATAGATTGAGCTCTTAAATGTAATAATAAACTGCCTAATGGTGCTAATTCAGTTACCTGAAATAAAAGCATTACGAATGAAATTTCATTATATATATATATATATATATATATATATATATATTCTATATCTTGGAGTAGAAGGCATGTAAAATGAATCTAACTCGAATGTCATTGATAGCATTATTAGATCTCTTATCTTCTAGGTTTATTTTCATTTAAATACTTCTTCTAACGACATCAAATTGTAATGAACTCTTATGTAAAGACTGTGTTCAGTTTGATAGCCTTTTTATATCAAAATACAGATCTCTTTTATAATGAGTAACAAATAACTTTACATTCCGACCAGTTTTGTATCCACGTTAAGTAAGTCTAACCACTGTGTTATAAGATAAGTTTACAATCAGAAAATAAATAATTTGCCGATCCCAAATTTGTATATTTGGCTTAGAGTTACATCTCTGTGCAAGGTTCGCAACCTAATGGATTCGGGAAAACAAAAGAGAAAATTTTCTAAAATATAATACCGTATAATAAATTACCATCATAATTGGATTAGATATTACAATTCCATAAAGACGGATTAAACTAGGATGTGAAAGACATTGCATCGCACGAATTTCATACAAGAATCCTGTGAATAAATCGCTTTTCATTGCTTCTGGTTTTAATAATTTCACAGCCACAGGAATCTGTAGGAACAAAAGTTTTTATTAAAAACAATTAAGCTGAAGACACAATCATTAGCTTTTTAAAAAAAGTTGAAGAAAAAATCACCTTACCTATCGAAAATATTGATAATCTGGATAGCTACATGACACAAAAATATACTTGGAACCCTTCTGGAGTTGCTGCTTGTCTCGAGCTCGGGCAAAGGTGAAGGATTGGACATGGGGTTAGAAAATAAACCTCGTAAATAAAATCTGACTAAAACAACCTTAGCCCGAAAGAAACATTTAAATTCTGGTCTGGGAGTTAAAGGATCTTCATATATAAGAGTTATCATGTCCCTTATAGTGTAAGCCGAGATTCTTTGGAAGCTAGGAGGACGATACCTCATTTTGATGGATGATCTTAACGCCAAGGTCGGGATGGACAACAGCAAGTATGAACGTATCATGGAGAGACCTAGACTGTGGTAAAGAAACGACCATGGTGAGGGAATGGTAAACCTACGTGCTTTCGACATTGTCATAGGGAGATCTGTTCTTCCCCATAAACCCATTCGCCAGGCCATATGCGCTTCACACTATGGAGAACTAAGTTGATCACATCTTCATAGCGTAAGAACAGAGATGAGCTGATACATATTCAAACCATCATCTGGTGATGACAAGACTAAAACTAAAGCTAGAGAAGCACTGAACAACTGGATAGGCAGCACCGTGAAAGTTTAATACAACCTTTATTCGACTTGCTGACAAGCTCACTGAGTTCAGTACATATCTCAGAAACAAGTTCAAAGCCTTGCAAGATCTACTACAAGAAGACGAAAACATTATAGAAGGCAAATTGAAAGAGATTAAAGAAGAAATAACTTCAACATGCCACGAAGTACTGAGCCCCCAAGAGGCACCAACACAAAAAATGGATCTCTGTAAACAGGCTAGATAATATTCAAGAAATGAAACACCAGAAGACAGTAGTTAATAACAGCTGAAAAAAGGTATAGAAAGCCAAGACACAGGTAGAATATACAGAAGTAAACAAACGAGTAAAGAATAACATCGAAGGTGACAAGTGGAAATATGTAAAAGACTCGGAAAATACGGAAACGCTAAAAGAAAAGTAAATGTGAGAGAACAGTATGACACAACCAGGAAGCTTTCAAAGAGACAGGGCATAACATATCGACCACTCAGGAAGAAGGAAGGTAAACCAATCACTGTGGTCTCAAGGTAGTAATAACAGGCGGGTAGAGTACTTTGAAGAGCTCTTCAATAGACCACCACCACTGAACACATCGGACATTTATGGAGCACACACAGAGCTTCCTATAGACGATACAACACCAACAACAGAGATTAGCAAGGCCCATCAAATAAACTAACAATGGCAAACCATCATGACTAGACACCATACCAGTCAAATAGAGAAAACTGAATAGATGTCCCACTTCCTCTGAAGGAATAGCTGAGAGGTAAAACAAATACCAACAGATTGGAAAGAAGTGTATCTCTTCAAAATACCGAGTAAATGAGATCATAGTAAGTATGAGGACTACAAATGTATGACACAACTGGTTGTTGACTGGATTATGAAGATATCCATATGTCAAAAGAAGCATAGATGGATGATTTGGACTTTTCAGATGACAGCTGCTCTATCCCATACACAGTAACAAAAGCATATGAAAGCTACCAGTGTAGCAGCGGCCTCTTCAGAAAGAGGCGTTAACATTCACCGAGGAAAACGCAAGATCCTGAAGTACAACAGTGAACACCGAATAAACCAAACTTGATGGAGAAACTCTGGAAGAGGTTAAAGCTTTTATGTATATGGGGAGTATTGTTGTCAGATAAAGATGATTTGAGTCAGATATAAAGGGATGAGTTGGAAAAGCAGGGATAGTATTCCCAAAATTTAAGAGAACTACCAGCCAAGACAAAAGTAAGAATTTTCAACACCAACATTCAAACCGTTTTATTGTATCAAGCAAAAACTCAGAGAACTACCAAAGCCATTAAGAATGTAGGGGTATTTATAAACAGTTGTCTCTCCAAGATACTCCAGATCCATTGGCCAGAGACCATTAACAATAACTTACCCTGATAGAGCAAAAATCAGCTATCAACTGAGGGCGAAATAAGAAAGACACTAAGGGTGAATAGGACACTTTACGGGGCCCAATGGACCGCATCACAAGGCAAGACCGAATTTGGAATCCTCAAGACAAAAGGAAAAATGGTAGACCAAAGAACACATGACGTTGAGAACTGAACATAGACGTCAAGACCATGAAAAACACCTGGCAACAAATGGAGAGCCCAGGGAAAGTTGCGTGGAAGTCCTGATTGGCAGCACACGTCCCAGAAAAGACAACACACATAAACGAATGAATGAGTGGGTGAAACACTCGGATTATTTGAACTTCTATACTGGGATTAAGTATTTTAGGGTTTGAACTGGATAATCATGAATTCCCACTGTATGTACTGACACGTCACCATGAGGTTACAAACTATTGCAAAACTAAATGGTGAAAAACTTACAGTTTCGCCCGTCGGCACAGTCCAGTCACCACGCCGTACTATGCCAAACGAACCAACTCCAATTCTTGAATGGAGTTTGATATCCTTTTCAGGAATAAGACATGTGAATGCAGCTGAGTTAGTAACAACATTCTGACGACTATTTTGAGAAAAACTGGTGGAACGGCCAGATACTTGATGCTGACTCCAATAAGAAGGTTGTATCGGGAACTCTTCTTTACACTGATGTTCCAGTCTATGAGCTGGTGATACTGGAGCACTAGTATGGGACTGTTTTCCTCCAAACAGCTAGAACAAAAACGAAACCATATGGTATTTAGAGAACCCAGCTTACATGGTTACCTCTATTCATTCAATAGTAGAATTTGATGTCTACAAATTCAAAGTATGTATTGGAAAATAGGTGTTTAGAAGATATCGGAGGGACCGTTGAATCTAAGTTTTACTCTGGCTATCATTCGTCAGCAAATCGTAACCAGAATGTAGGGAGGAATTACTCCACCTTAAAAAATTTAACCAGCATCACTCAGTGACTCAAAAGTTGCAACCGACTTCCTGAACGACCGCAGTGATTGGATTTTCAATCAGTGCATTAGGGACAACCTAGGAATTTTCCAACCATTCAGTGAGCAGCATATTCTGACCTGTAATTTTATTGACCAAAGGTCAATTTCAAAACGATTATCATCTAATTAAACATACGTACAACTTCTTACAGGCTCTAACTTAGAGTCTTACAGATTACTTTCTCCTCTTATTATGTTCAGTATTGAACATTTCATCACATTTCACAAACACAATTTACAACAACGAAGACTCCATTCAACGAATCTAAGATCAATCCTGAAAAATAATATCACAGTTGTTTAGATATTTTTGAAGTACTATTTACTGTATCTGAAGATTTTTAAAGTGAATAAACAGTAAAAACAAGTTACAATTCATATTCTGTGTTTTTAAACCTTTCGTGATACAAAAACTAAACTTTAAGAACTTAAATTAGATACTTAGTATTCGTTGTAAAACTAATGGAGCTCTCATAGTCGTCAGTTTATTTCTGATTTATTGACAAGTTAGTGGGCTACCTTTCTATTTACCTTAAATAACATACAGTAGAACATAATTTTTCAACAACAGTGAAAATCAGACTATTTGATAGAAAATTAAACACAAGTGGCATCACACGTTTATGGCAAGCTATCTAGTGGAAATCATAACAAGCAATACAACCTAAAATTCAAAGAGTTCTGATGAACAGCTACTCACTTTACGTAGCAGTTTCGATCGGTGAAAATCAGCAGCAGAATGTGGTTTCGGATCTGGCCATGAATAGGAATAGTCTGTATATCCATCCGATAGCAAATTCTTTACTGAAAACCCATCCTCTATTAGCTGATTAACAAGTCGATTGATTTCGTTTTCTGTCATTCCAAGACAAGCTAAGTCAGTAGGTTTAACCCGGTCAAAATCGTCAGGGCTAAGGGGTTTGAAAGGAAAAGCCTGTGATATTCAACAGTAAGTCTCTACAATATACTAAAATTAGGCTTCATATACCACTTTCTAAATTAAACAATTACACAACTTTTTATCGGGAAACATAAACAAACTTATATCACCAAACTCCTAACGATCACTTCTGGGTTATTTACATAGACATATCGTTTGTTCTCTTTTATAAAAAGCATATTGAAGAAAATCTCAAAAGGAATTAACTACATAGAAAGAGAATAATGACTTAGTCATCTTACAGAATATAGATAACTATACAAAATATATGACGGGAATCCTTGTCATTTTTAATTTTACAGGATGCTTAGGTGTAAACCTAATCTACGCTAAACTAAATTTGAACAAGATATGTGAATTGCACATTTTTACTTTACATGGCTTTGTATTTGCCAACGATATATATTAAAGGAAGTGCGAATTTTCAGTTTGCGATCTCTTGCTAGTATTCATAACACAGATACACAAGCATGATGAACAAGTTGTTAAATAACTGTACAAGTTACAATACTCCACTTAAGAAGTGTTAGCAACAAGATAAGAGAAATAGTGATTTTAAAAATAAAAATCATAACAAAGTAACCTAGAAAAAATGAATAAATATGAAATAGCAGAGTTTATGTGAAGTGGTGTCCGTTTATTAAAGAAACTAGCTTCCAACCTGTATGTTACAAGCTTGAACCCCAGTTTAGCTACTTTGATTTGGGTAGTTAAGTTGTACCACTAGCCATCACAAACAATCTGGTTCAACCCCTAGTACATAAACTTGTATTTTGTAGATGAGTTGCAAGTGAACAATTAGTAGTGAACTGTGCTGAAACTTTTAGAAGCATTACGTATGTCTTAAGTCGTACTGTGCCTTAAGGAAGACGGTCGAGATATATGATACACTTCAACTGCCCTATTTGGGGGAGGGATGCAACCAAAAAAGAACTTTCATTTACACAAAGCCCCAGCTTAATACCAAAACTAATAATACACCGACATTATAATAATCCAGGGGTATTTCGCATTTAGCTATTGCAGTCATAATGTTGGATGCTGATCATCATATTATTATGTAATTGTCATCTTAATAGTCATCATAATGTTTTGGTGGTGGAGCTTTGAATTAGTTGCTTGGACAGTAAGCTTTTAACAACTATTTCTACATTTCAAAAGCCGTCAGAGGGGTACAGCTGAGACAGCTTAAGAGGGATAGAAATCTGAATGAACTCAACCAGACGAATAAACTGTTTTGTTTGTTCGCAGACTCGAACTCTACATAAACGTACTTTACTACGATTGTGAAAAATGATTTTTTACAAGTCTTTTGGACTTTGGATTTAGTATTTATAGCTTACCGAGCCCAATAAGAATAATCCTATTTTCATTAATTAGATCAAGTTGGTAGAACTTAAAGGTCTAGAAGTTATTTGTGTTGGGCTAATGTTTCTCCAGAAATCTATTCAACATTCTTGAAGGTGTTTTCCGGTGGTATCGAATAATTAACCCCAGCAACAGTTATGATTTCTATAGTGAGAGCTATGGTTTGCACATTAAAACAGAGGACCCTTGGTGGAGTGATTCACAACTTCGGACTAAATACCTGCTGTGAAATTCAGATAAGGCTATCTGAACGATGGAGTGGAACGAAACAATACGAATCATCAAACAAAATGACAAGTGAAGTTTAAACGGTAATTCAGTAATAAGTAATGAAATCTAAACTACGACTGAAAAAGATTGTAGTTACTACGAACTCTAAATCATTTACATAACTGGAAATGTGTTCGAAAGGAAATTCAACAATGTGATGATGTCAAATTAAAAATGATATTTACAAAACTGATGTAGTGGGACTCACTCATTTATTTTTAATTTCTTCTTAATGGCATTGAGGAAGTTCCGAAGGTGAGCACGTTCAAGAAATACAGACAACTTCTCACATCGATCTTAAGAAGTTATAGGAGAAAAAAGTGCATACCTGCCCAGGGATAGTAAACCCTTTCAGTCATTACCAAGAAGCTGGTAAAATGAGTTGTTTGAACGTGATTTAAAACCGTTCGTTGATGTTTGGAAAAATTCAAACACAGGATAGAAAAATGAAAAACAGATACAGATGAAAATCGAAGTGTGTTTCTAGCACTGGTTTTTAATTTATTTTCACCAACAGAACTTTACGTTGAGAATAACTATTGATATTACTTCTCAGAGCAACAAGTTAATAATGCGAATAACTTTGTAAGATGTTAAAAACTAAACTGATGTTGAGTCCAATATTGGCTAACGAAATCTCTCTAATCATTTTCGAAAATCTGCTTTTCTGAAACAAATGAAAGCCAGTAGTCAAATATTACCAATTTGGCGTAAGTTTAGGAGCATTAATATGTCACATAAACAACTATCAGTCCAAGTGGTGTATCAACAAGCACTCAATTATTAGTAGTTCGACTGGAAACTAGTTTGAAAACATTATTAAAATTCAGGATCTTGTTATAATTTCTCATATTATGACTCAGGTATTGCTATTGCTTAGTATTCTTGGACACTAATTCACTCGAAATGTCTCCAGATCAGAACACGGTTGATCAGGAACGAAATTATATTCCCAATAACAAGGGTAGATAGTTGTAAGAAGCACAATAACAAAAACGTTAGTATATTTATGGTTTTTACATGAGTTTCTAGAGTCCAATCTAATTAAATATATAATCTGCTAACAGACCGCATAAAAAAATATTCGGTTGGTGGTATATCTTCGGAGATGGGTTTTAATGAAAAGCTAAACCGACTAATTATGCATCGTCATTTGTATTATTGATCCGGAGAACCGATCGATAGCAAAGCATGTTGAGAATAAGGTATTTCCACGGCATATGTTTAAAATTCTTCGGCATGTTCAGTACGCATACTGAATTCATCTAAACTACAATTACTACTAATGAAACATTGGTTTAGAAGTTTTTAATGAAATCGTATACTATATTAAAATTTAGGTTAATGGGTCATCATCAACATGGAACCTGGCACATATATGTATTAAATCAAGTCAGCACATCACAGCACGGCAAAATAGAATTGCCGAATTCAATACCAAAGTCATAGGATCAGCGGTAGTAAAAGAAGACTAAGAAACTAGGATGTGACTCAACAATGAATTAATTCACAAGTTAAAATGCATAAGATAATTTTGAAACATGATTTAAGGGATATAAATGGAAATAACTACACCATTATAACGGATTCTGAATTATGTCACCTGTCTCCAACCATTAGTCAAGAGAACCATACGGACCCTAATCAGATAGTCTAAATCTAGGTGAACGACTTGCTTCAAAAGCCAATAAATTTATGGGCATATAGCTCGTTTGGTTTCGCCCCTCAGTTTTCTTCCAAAATATTTTTACTCCAGCAAACATTATGTATCAGACTAAATGATAGGGGCATAAAACATATCCACATCGTTTAATGAGGTTTATTGATATTACCAGCCGGTTTCCCGTGTCTGTCTAGTATCATACGTGTAACCTCTACGATGCGTGAATAATCCTTCACATAAATACTCGACTAAAACCCTGTAGCCTACCTATGTCTTTTAAATTTATGGGCTATTTCACAGACAGGACAATACATACTCGACCGGTGTGTAGCATACTTTGGTGGTAAGTAATGCACGTTGGTTTTAAGTCAACCGGACTACTGAATCCGTACTGGGATATTGTTAGCCAGGAACCCATCGAGGCTGACTGAACTCCCACAATAAGTGACGTGGTTCATGAGGCAAATTGCTTCACTTAGCATGTCTAGATGATGGCGTCGATATGTTCTGAAGGAGTATTTAGTATTTAAATGAATGCAAAAGATTGGTGCGTCTGAAAACCAGAGATGTTATTCGAGTCTTTAGCAAACAGTACTATACCACTTATACCCTCCTAGTTGAAAATTAAGTTTGATAGGAAATAAATCCCCGAAAGGAAGGCATTATCTTCAAAGAATCTCAACGAAACAGAAAAAAAATGAGAATAATGTGTAGTCTGATTAACACTATTATACGTTCCCAATTTTTATGACACAGTCACAAGCGCTGACTCAATCAACCGAGTTCGGATAAGGAGGTTTTCCAAAGTTCATGAACCCCTTTGACACACTTTCAATAAGAGTTATTTTTTTATTTCACTTTTGCCGCAGCTAGTGAGGAGTTGTAGTGAGAATGTCGAAAATCCCCATATAGAAAGTAGTCCTTGTATGAGCTAAGTAAGTGTGATCCAAAGAAGACGTTAGTTGCGGTGTTTCTGGTTACACTTGTCTGAGAAAAATGCTAAAAAGCCTCTCCTAAAATACACAATCTGATTCAACACCTACAATGCTACACTTACTCTCACCAGGTTGCTCAAACTCCAACTGATTTATCTTAGGTGTCGGCTATGAAGTTTTTATTTGGGCTCAAAGGCACGGTTGCTTGGATATGCATATTTCACAGGCAACATACAGTCCATAAAGAAATAATATGTGCTCTTCGGCATACCTTTTGAGGTGTTTATATATTAGGAGCTGGTTTTGACACTGTGGCAATATTTTTCAGTGAGGGCAAAAAAATGATCTACCAAAGAAGTAACCAGGAATGTGCATTTATGATTGCTATCAACAGTTCCAACCTTAGTAACAAACCACTTCAAGAATACCGCCTTCAGTCTTCAGTCTTCAGTAATAAGGATAGGAGGTCTGTCGACCTATATTGATCCTTGCAGTTTGTAATACTGTGGAGGTCCAATCTCGTTTTGAATATATTAACAGACGGTGCTGATATTACGTGTTCCGGTAGAGAATTCCAGTAATTCACTACTCGGTGCGAAAAACGGAACTGCAGACGTAAACGGTTTGATCTCGGTTTTTGAGTTTTCTTCGAATGTCCTCTCAAATGATCGGTTCTAGACGGAAGCAAAAGATGAGACATGTTAATACCAAGGTCATCGTTCAGTATACGATAAGCCAATATTAGATCACCCCGTACTCTACGGTAAGATAACGGAAATAAGTTAAGGTGACTCAGTCTGTCTTCATAAGATAGGCCAGATAGACCTTGTACCATCTTAGTAACTCGTCGTTGGACTCTTTCTAGCATATCTGCTTCATATTTGAAACAAGGACTCGCTGCTTGAATCCCGTATTCTAAATGTGGTCGCACATAAATCGGGTATAGTAATCCAAACATTTCATCATCTAAATACTGGAAAGACCTACGAATTGACCATAATACCCTATAGCCTTTTGCAGCAGCAGCCTTACAGTGACTAGTCGTTTTGAGATCATTGCTTAATATAACTCCTAAGTCTTTATAGTTTCTTGCTTTGGGTAGCACGAATCCACGTAGTGTATAGTCATACGATTCATCAGAGTTATTTAACTGCATCACTACACTCTTATTAGGATTTACTTCTAGTGACCACCTGTCTTACCATGCCACCAATGAGCTAAGATCGTCCTGTAATACTATTCTATCCGACATACTATGTATGGGTCTCCAAATCTTTATGTCATCAGCGAAGAGTAGAACGGATGATTTTGCTACAGTTGGCAATTCATTTACATAAAGTAAAAAGAGAAGAGGACCTAGGATTGTGCCTTGGGGAACCCCACTTTTTACAGGTACTCACTAGGAGAGAGCCCCATTAACCCTTACCCTATGTCTCCTGTCATGGAGAAAGTCACTTATCCAATCGACGACTGTGTTATAGATTCCAAAACGTTTCAGCTTGAATTTAAGACCAGAGTGTGAAACCTTATCAAAGGCTTTACTTAGATCTATGAAAATTACATCCACAGGAGCATTCCGATCCTTTGCCGCAGCCCACTCTTCTCGTGCAATGAGAAGATTTGTCAAGCAAGATAGGCCTTTCCGAAAACCATGTTGTGCCCTGGAGAAAAGGTTTTGCCCTTCAACATAGTTTATAACAGCTATCCGAATGATTTTCTCCATCAGTTTCACAACTGCACTAGTTAAGCTAACGGGTCTATAGTTACTAACTAAATCTTTACTCCCAGCCTTATACACCGGACTTATTATGGCGTCTTTCCAGTCTCTAGGAAGTCTGGACTGTCTCAGAGACATGTCGAATAGTATCGCTAATGGTTCAGCAATTTCATCTGATATGGCTTTCATAATCCTAGGATGAATATCATCGGGACCAGTGGACTTATCAGGTTTGAGATGCTGAAGTAGCCTTAAAACAGTATCTTTCTCAATGACTACAGGATCCATCAGCGAGCCGTCACGGTCACGATGAATCATTGGTCGTTCCTCATTACCGATAGAAAACACATTACTAAATTATTCCGATAAAGCTTCAGCTTTTTCGGCATCATTCTCTGCTAAAATTAACGGATTGTCTCGTATCAAAAGTGATGGAATTCCATCGCTTCTCTTAGTTTGCCTTTTTATATACGAGAATAACCGTTTCGGACTATATCTAGAATCCCTAACCAATTGTTTTTCGTATGAATGTCTAGTCTTGCTTATTAACGCTTTACAGGCATTCCTAATCTTACAATAACTGGATCTGTATTGTTCTAAGCCAGTAGAGATGAACATATTCCAGTGATTCTTCCTTTTTCTAAGGAGTTTCCTGACCGTCTTAGTTATACATCGTGGACTATTATTCAGTCTTCGCGGTACCAGGTATGGTATGAACGGGGACGTAACTAGTCTAAATTTACCTTTAAATACAGACCATGCTTCTTCAACTGATATGCTAGTATCTACTAACCAATCTGTCTTAGCAGCGCATTCCTGAATGGCTGATATGTTAGCTTCCCATACATTTGGGCGCGGTGTAACCTGATCGTATAACATGTCCCTAGTTCTAAACGCGAATGACAAAACAGCGTGATCGCTGTTTACTAACGGTGAAAGAATATTTAAGTCGACAATATCCTCAGTCTCATGAGTGATTACCAAATTCAGCAGAGAAGAACCCTGATTAACACCAAAACGTGTCGGTTGGGATACATACTGCACTAGTGCATGCCTCATTATTGTTATCAGTAACCTACTATCAAAGGAGTTTATAGATCCTTCTGTGGTCATATCAGTCCAACTAATATCAGGTGCGTTAAAGTCTCCTATTATCAAGCACCTGGTATTATCACTCCAAAGATGAATGTGCTCTAAAACAAAGTCATCAGCTAAGCAGATTGGGCTCCGATAGATGACACCTAGCATAAATGTACTACATCCTATTGCCAACTTACAGTTAATGACTTCACAAGTGCCGCCATCATGGGATTCGCTAGTAAAGGAGCGGATATTTATGCCATTGGCTATATATAACAGGACGCCGCTTCCTTTTCTACATCTATGTCTATCACTCCTGATGCAATGGTATCCGGATAATTCTGGAGTAATGTCTAAGTCATGGACTAACCAAGTTTCTGTCACTGCTACTATGAGTGGCTTTAACCTGTCTACTAGTGCTTCTAGTTCATAGAACTTATTTCGTAAACTATGAGCGTTGGCATATAAAACTCCTAAGTAGAACAGCCTATCCACACAGGCCTTGGTGGCATTCGCTTCCAAGACCTGACTATCCGAAAACCCACTAGTCGGAGATTTTCCTCGCCGTTTTGCCGACGGGTTTCAAGTTCAGCTAGTGCTTTCATCCTTTTTATTCTATCTTCGAGAGACATGTCAGATCTAACTCGGATGTCAGAATTGTCGTGACAACGAGTGCTACTTAACAAGAGATCCCGTTGATTCTCCGATCCTAGGATTACCTTAAGGAGTCTGCATGGACGGGGTTCAACATTGTCCTCGGTCCTCTTGCCTATTCTTACCAATTTTTTTGACCTGAACTCCTTTGGAGTTATCTGGTAAAATACTACGAATGTATTCTCCTAGCTTTTCTAAGTTGTGCGCGTGTCTAACTTTCGGATCAGGGTCGTTTGACTCCCGCAATTTGCTCACAATAATATTCGATGTTATTAGATTTTTCTTCTCAGTCACGCCAGGATGGGTTTCACTCTTACCATCAGATCTTGGTAGTGCAATTTGTGGCTCACGATTTGAGTCCACCAGTGAGTTACTAACTACCTGTGTACTGCTTACAGCTTTTTTCTTTTCCTTTTGTTTCCTACGTACCGTAGTCCATTTTTCATCTCTCATAACACTTGGACTATTTGGAACGGTGACTGTTTTATCCAGATCTTTGGTTCCCACTAACGGTGAATTATTAACAATGTCAGTACCAGGTGGTACTACTTCCCCTGTTAATGTCAACGAAAATTTCACTTTTACATCGATCAGAGTCGGTTGTTTGAGGCGTCGCGTAACAGCAGGTACTACACTGACACATTCGTCGCTGTCAATGCCCGTGTTGTCAGCGCATATGCCAACCTTCTTTTTACAGGCCAAAGCCAACAGGCTCATAGCCTCCTGTATTAGCAATGCCTTGTTGGCACAGCAAAACATGCAAAGCCAATGTGAGTTAGGCTTCGAGCATCTTTTGTATGCGGTGGGACTTAAGCGGGTGCACATTTTGTGGAACCACTTATGGCATTCGTCACACTGCATTCCCTCTTCCACAGGGAACAAACAGTTTGGTTGTCCACATTTGTGAGTACTACCAACCATTTTAGTCTGATCAAAGTGTAATACACAATGTGATCACAGTATGAACACAAATGTCAGTCAACGAATAAAAGGTTACCACAAGACAAACTTTAGCAAGATTTCAAACCTTAACGAAAGTACTTTGACACAGATCAGGAGTGCTTCGAACGTAATAAATACACAAAAGCCAAAAAAACTCAACAGAATATCACTTTAACTGTATTAGATTCAATTAAAGTGTAAATCGTAGTTTTGATACGTAATTTACGATCAAAACAATTTACTAATTCAACGAGAAACAATACCACTGTCCTTTTTAGACAGCGCGCTTGATGAAATTGCAACCAATAAAGACAAAGGACGAACAAGAAGTAAATAACGGGGACATTCAGTTAGAAAATAAGGAGAAAAGAGTGGAGAGACGAGTCAAAGTCCCATTTCCCGCCTGTCATGAGGAAATAATGGGAACCTTCCCCTTTTTGTCGTTCTGCATTTGAGATGCCGCCGAATTTTTTACTTTTGGCCTAAATATACGCCTTCATCACTACTTTCCTAATAGCTACTAGGGCACAACGAAGTGAACTACGCGATATTGTGGTCAAAGAAGGGTAGTCTGAAAATTATTAAACGAAATTAAACTCGATATGCTTACTCCGAGTAAGAATGTCACCCTTTCAAAACTAAGGTTGATGAACAACTGATTATAAAAACGACCTCAACAGCTGATACTGTCCCGACCTTGAAGAACAATTTGTTTGGCGCTATGGATTTCAGCAACTAACAATTGAATGATCAATGGGTGGTGATCAATATCACGTGTCAAGCCCTTCGTAGTGCAGATCGAATGCTATCGAAGAAGTTTTAACCTGACAAATAACCTAGGATACTCGACATTACGTGCACTATGTTGAGATTAGATGGTGGTTGGAAATAGTCAACAGGAAACCCTAGACCCAGGTTTCGTGCTACTTGATACTTGTCAGCAAGGAAACTTGTAATAACACGAAACCCGGGTCGAGGGTTTCCTGTTGACTATTTCCAACCACCATCTAATCTCAACATAGTGCACGCAATGTCGAGTAACCTAGACT